GCGTCAGAGTCCTAGGTCTTCAATCTCCATGAGAATTGTCGGGACGACAATTTTGAAGAAGGGGGGCAGTGTTGCGCCCCCGTGTTACGCCCCTGGATCTACATCTTTGTATCGAGAGATACTTTTCGCGGAATCAACTCTTTACGCCTCCGGGAGATCGTCGTCAAGGGAGTTGTTGTTAAACAACTAAGGGTCTTCTTCTGTTTTCGGGAGACATGACAGATTTGGTCTAGCGGTCGCATCGTGCGGACGTTTTCCGAGACCGGAGCTTCTTTGCATTACGAATGCTCTATTTGTTATATTTCATTGGTTTCGTGTATTGGATCCTCATATTAAAGTTCATTTCCCTATTACGCGAGTGTCTTTATTTCGCGCGCGAGTGAGAGTGACTGAGCGAGAGGCGTCCCGAGGACGCAACAATACATTTGAATATACATACTGTTCGTAAACACAATCGTGAATTAAAACTTATAAATCAAATTATAAAATTTATTAGAATAAACATATATATAGCAAAATTGGCATGACGATAAAAATTAAATACAGAAAAAGAGAAATGTAATCGAATACTGATACTAGATTATTTGCGAAGATGTACGAAGACTACTTTGTTGATTCCTTTGCTCTGTACTTCAGTTATTGACAGGTTTTTTGCTTTTGTTAATTAAAAATATTGATTTACATATTTATTAAAAAATATTTTATATAGAATAATTTTATACCGTAGAATGGCACTTGCTACAAAAGAAAAAACAAAGTACGCGGTAGTGAAATTCCTTTCGGATTTTATTTATTCCGAAATTCCAACGATATGACGGCTGAAGGCAGCAGAGAAAGAAGGAAAAAAACCCAATGTTGGTGGCCACCTCGTAATTCAAATACTCCTTTATTAATGACGAATTATTCAACTCCGAATTGTGGTGCCTCTACAACGTCGAAATAATAAAATATTGTGGTAACTATTTATATATTTTTATTTTATCTATATCTATATATAATCCATAACATAAAAAAAATATAAAATGTATTTTTTTTCAAAATGTAACAAATATTTGTTTTACACAAAATACACTTTTTAGAGTTATATATAATTGTTTTTGTTTACGTTTGATTTTACATTATTATTTATATTTGTGTATATTTTATTAAAAATATTGTGTGTGTATGTGTAAGAAAATATTTTTGACAATAACGTTTTAAAAAATTATGTTTTAGGAAAAATATTTTATGATGATGATTTGTACAATTAATATAAATATTAACCTTTTTCCATAATAGCAAGCTTAGACACTGCAAGAAAAAATGCAGCAGACAGTACATACAGTACAACGGATGATGAAAACTTGAAGCGAGAAAAAAGACAGCATGTACCATCTGTACGATTCAACGATGACGATTCAGAAGAAGAGTCTCAGGAACAGGATACAATTTCTAATAAGAGACGTATGTAGAAATAAAGTGTATATAATATTTTATATTATATTATATTACATTTATTAATTATATACAAGAGTGTCGCAGACACTTTTATGATTCGATTTTTAAATAGATCCTTGTCGATTTTTAACTTTGTTGATTTTTAATCTTATCGGTTTTTTTATAGAAAAACAATCACATTCTGTTCCACGTAACAATTTTCACTCAAAATCATATACTATTCCTGCTCCACCTGAAGATTTTGGCTTAAACAATAAAGATTCTGATGTCGAAAACAAAAAATATAAATAATGATGAAAATGAAATACATTTAGAGCAAGGTATAGGAAAGAATGGGGGAATGACGGTCATCAGGCAATGCAGGTCACCCGTTTACAGAAACATACAACAGTTATATCAAACTTTTTTTGTCTCTATCCGTTTACATACATGATTATCGAGTAATTCATTATGCCGTCCCTATTAAACCAATATAAATTAATAAAAATCTGATGATTCTTGTTTTAACTCAGAAATAAATATTTTTATCGGCTCTCAATATAAAGAATATACATATGATGTTTTTCTCAGAAAAACATTTCATATAAGAATCGATGTACTTTTAATAAGGGTTTTGCAAAATTTTTAGTAGTTAAAATTACATTTAATCGTTTTTTATGACTTTTTTGGTTCTTTAGCTTCCATTTCGCCCATATTAAAACGATGACATCGTATAAATATATTATTATTTAATATAACAAATACACTCGGTTTTTGGGGTAACGGTAGTCGCTTGCACAGGAAAATTGCAGTCGAACGTAACCTATTAACCATCGGGCACATGCCTGCAAACGTCGAGTGACAGCGTGAACATTACGATATGTATATACCTATATTTATACAACAAATTTGATGGAATTTATCCAAACTCAGTGAGAAATGAATAATATGCATGATTTACATAAAATATATGTTCAATTTGATGGACATTTCAGTCTTGAAATAACGCCAGAATTTTAGGTTAAAATTTCAATTTTTCTGTTAATCATTAATTGTAATTATATTTTCAATTTAAGATGTTTCGTTATAAGACGAGAAAAACAGAAAGAAAAAAATGGTCTTCAGACGAGCTCAAAGCAGCTATCGGGGCAGTAAAAGCTGGAATTCCCATTCGTCAGGCTGTGACTGCATCAAACGGGGACATGTCTGCAAACGTCGAGTGACAGCGTGAACATCACGGTATGTATATACCTATATTTATATCACAAATTTGATGGAATTTATCCAAACTCAGTGAGAAATGAATAATATACATGATTTACATATAAAATATGTTCAATTTGATAGACAATTCAGTCTAAAAATAACGTCGGAAATTTAGATTAAAATTTCAATTTTTCTGTTAATCATTAATTGTAATTATATTTTCAATTTAAAATGTTTCGTTGTAGAGAGTAAAAATTATTTTTTACTTTCAAAAAAAAGATGTCTTTAAAACCAAAATGAAATAGTTGACGGATACTTCATCAATCATTCTTCGAAACTGGAAGCATAAAAGTCAAGAAAAGTAATATATAATTGAGCCTGCATTGATTAAAAAAATCTCTGACTTGACCACAATTGACCAACGTGTTGGGTAAATACGGTCGCCTCTTGAAATAATGCCAGCTGGTCGCTAGCAGGCAAAATTCGGTGGTATATTTTGATTACGAGCTTAAAATCCATAGAACCAATCTAGGCCAGCACACTTTTTTTCTTTGTTAAAATTATTGGGGATGTTGTAACGTTCAGCAAAATCGAATGCTTCGCAGCGCACTTGAAAAAGTGTCTATACAAATTTATATATATATATATATATTGTGACTTGATAGACGTATATTATACGTATGTAAAATGTATATATAATGACATATTATTAATGACTGGATAGATGTATATTATACGTATGTATAATATACATAAATTATGCATTATTTACTACTAATATACATATATAATATACATATATATATATATATATATATATATATTTAAGATTATACTATATTATCTGGCGAGGGCCAGAATATCTCCGCCATTGCGCGGACTTTTGGCCGAAGGACGTCGGACACCTGGAAACGGCTGACTTACCGGAGCAGCGACCGTTACGATGCCATGCAGCCGCCGAGAAGCGAGAACCTGAGGAGCTCAACCGCTTCTTCTGCCTTCGTCGCTTGCTTTGCGTGTCAGCCTGGATCTGGCGCTGGAGGCCACGATACTACGTATACGTAAAATGTACTTATGCTGACATATTATTGATGACTGATAGATGAATGTTACACGTATGTAAAATATTCATAAATATTGCGTTAATATACATCTATATTACAATTAATATTCTTATACAACCGCCTTCTGGAGACCATCCCGGTCGAGCATCAGCTGGGCGGGACGACCGGCGCGCGGCTACCAGCAGACGAGCACTAAGTGCTGGGTCTCCGCTGGAATCCGCACGAGGACACCTTCTCGCTGTCTGTCCGGCTGACTCCAGCGGCCCTACCGACCAAGCAGACCGTACTGGCACAGACCGCTTGCCTGTTCGACCCGCTGGGCTGGCTAGCACCGATTCTCGTACGTGCGAAGTTGCTGATCCAGTCGGCGTGGTTGCAGCAACTAGAGTGGGACGCGCCGCTATCATGCGAGGACGCCGCTGCATGGACAGTCGTCGAGGAGGAATTGCCGTCGCTGGAGGAGATCCGACTGCCACGCTAACTGCACAGCGACACACCATACAGCTCCGTGGAGCTCCACGGCTTTTCGGATGCCTCCGAACGTGCTTACGCTGCCGTGGTCTACAGCAGAGTGAAAAGTGGCGGACTGCTCAGCATCAACCTAGTGGTCGCTAAGAGCAAAGTGGCCCCGTTGAAGCGTGTATCGCTTCCCCGACTGGAACTCTGCGGAACGGCCTTTCTGTCCAAACTAGCCGAACATGTGCGGCTCTCCTTGAATCTGGAGAAGTCGACGATCACCCTCTGGACGGATTCTACTGTGACGCTTGGCTGGATACGTGGACATCCTGCAAAATGGAATACATATGTAGTTAACAGCGTTGCAGAAATTCACCGCGACGACCAGGATGCAAGATGGCGGCACGTACTTAGTAAGGAGAACCTTGCAGACTGTGTCTCCCGCGGAGTGTCGCCGAAGAAGCTCCTTCAACATCCTCTGTGGTGGCGAGGGCCAGAATATCTCCGCCATTGCGCGGACTTTTGGCCGAAGGACGTCGGACACCTGGAAACGGCTGACTTACCGGAGCAGCGACCGTTACGATGCCATGCAGCCGCCGAGAAGCGAGAACCTGAGGAGCTCAACCGCTTTTTCTGCCTTCGTCGCTTGCTTTGCGTGTCAGCCTGGATCTGGCGCTGGAGGCCACGAAGACTTCGTTCGACAGATGGTGAAGCTGTGTCGGCGTCCCTGGGATCTGAGGAGCTGGAGGCCGCCCTGTCGAGATGGATCCGGTTAGCTCAGGAGTCGAGTCATACCATGCAGAGCTGCAGGACATCCGTGCTGGAAGGATGCTGCCTGCCCGAAGCTCGCTCCGCAAGATGGTTTTCATGCTGGATGACGAGGGCACCCTGAGAGTCAGCGGGCGCCTAAAACATGCAATTTTGGATGCCGACCAACAACATCCAGTCATTTTGCCGCCGCAATCTCACCTGACTCACCTGGTGATTGACGCCGCCCACAGACGTACATTTCACGGAGGAGTCCAGGCCACCTTAGCTCACATCAAGCAGCGATTTTGGATTCCGCGAAGACGCCAACTGGTTCGCCGCCACATCCACAGCTGCCACCCATGCGTCCGATGGCGGGCGGCTACTCCACGGCCAAAGATGGGCGACCTGCCGAGACCGCGCGTCACTCCGAGCCGTCCATTTCAGCACACCGGCGTGGACCTCGCCGGCCCGGTGTGGCTCAGAACGACGAGAGGCCGAGGACACAAGGCCTACAAAGGCTTCCTAGTTGTATTCGTGTGTTTCAGCTCCCGCGCCGTACACCTTGAGGCCGTCAGCGACTACACCGCCGAGGCATTTCTAGCGGCTTTTCGTCGGTTCGTGTCTCGACGAGGGCACAGTCGTTTACAGCGACTGCGGCACTAACTTTGTAGGCGCGGACCGACAGCTCAGGGACTTCTTCAAGGCTGCTGGCCGTGAGATCCACACTATTGTCGGGCACCTTGCAGACCGAGGAGTACGGTGGAGCTTCAATCCACCGGCAGCTCCACACTTCGGCGGCCTGTGGGAAGCAGCTGTCAAGGCTGTCAAGCATCACCTGCGACGCACCATCGGCGAGGCCAGACACCTTTGAGGAACTGTCGACGTTTCTCACAGAGGTCGAGGCCTGCCTCAATTCAAGGCCGTTCGAGGCCTTGACTGACGACCCGGACGACCTCGATGCCCTGACGCCTGAGCAATTCTTGGTGGGAGACACTCTTTTCGCCATCCCGGAGCCGTCACTCCTGGACTTCCCAACCAATCGGCTGAATCGGTGGCGTCTCCTGCAGCAGATGCGGGACCACCTGTGGCAGCGGTGGACCCGCGAGTATCTGCAGTACCTCAGCCCGCGGCCCAAATGGTGGGCCACTCGTGGAGCCATTCTCGAAAGCCAGTTGTGCCTCGTCAGGGGCGAGAACACCTTGCCGTGCCGGTGGCCGCTTGCTCTGGTCACGCGCGTGCACTCAGGCAATGGTCCGCACAATGGTCCGCAGCATAACGCATGCGCGGATTTTGAACTTATCATAGATGTTTATTAGACTTATATCATTCGTCATTAAATATGCATTTCATAAATATGTAATATGCTTATAATAGTCATATATAATATGTTTTATACATATAGAAAAGAAATTTGTGAAATATTTCTAATAGATGTCTATTAGTTGTAAATAATTAATATATCGTATGTATATTCATTAAAAATATTATAGATGTGTATTAATTGAAAGCAATATTGAAATGTAGTTTTTAAATAATTTTTTTCTTATAGATGTATATTAATTGTAGAAAATACGTCATTATAAATGTAATTAATAAATATACAATATTATTTTAAGATGTTTTATATTTTTATAATATACGTACATCTAAATGTATATGTGTATAAATATATGTATATCTACTATACGTATGAAATTCATATATAAAACACGTGTATATAATGATATACAATTTACAGCTTATATATATATAGGAACAAATGGGGGAATTGCAGTCAGTATAAATTATTTCTTATTTTCAGAAAAAAAATATCTTTAAAACCAAAATGGAATAGTTGACGGATACTTCATCAATCATTTTTCGAAAGTGAAAGCATAAAAGTTAAGAAAGGTAATATATAATTAGGCCTGCATTGATTAAAAGAAATCTCTGACTTGACCACAATTGACCGACGTGTTGGGTAATTACGGTCGCCTCTTGGGGTAATGCTAGCTGGTTGCTAGCTGGTTGCTAGCAGGCAGGATTCGGTGGTATATTTTGATTACGAGCTTGAAATCCATAGAACCAATTTACGCCAGCACACCTTTTTTCTTTATTAAAATTATTGGGGATGTTGTGACGTTCAGCAAACTCAAATGCTGCACAGCGCACTTGAAGAGGTGTCTGTCTATATATATATATATATATATATATATATAGTTAAAAATTAAGATAAGTGAGCTTAAATAAGATTATGTTTTTATTAATTCACATAGTTTATATATACAAGTAAAAATGTTTGCACATATAACGTTTAAATATATAATATAAAACACACGTATATCTATATATATACATATATATATATATATATATATATATATATATATACGTGTTTTATATTTATAATAATTGAATAAAGACATTTTAGGCTCACTCACCTCAAATTAAATGTAAGACAGAAGTTGCATTTTTTAAAATTAAAGGCTGTGTAATAAAATAGATAAATACTACAAATACGAATTTATTTTATTGTTGCCGTTTAGAGGTAGTATCAGTACTAGATGCTCAACACCATTTTATTGTTATCATTTGAAAGTTTAATTGTTAGCACATAAGTCTAAATGATGTAAAACGTACATATAATGAATAAATAAATATATTATGTAATTATATTTTGTTATATATTTTTTTTCTTTTTAAAATTTAATTTAAACGTTATTTTTAAGCAATTATTTTAAGGCAATTCTAAAATCATTATAACGTCATACTATTGTCATCTAATGACGTAATATTATTGTCATCTGATGACGTCATACAGGGTTTGTCCGGAAAGTAATGCGTCGCATTTTTTTGTGACGCGACTATACATCGCAGAGCGATGGGACCGGTTGGGGAGGAAGGGGGGTACCCTTAGCTTTCCAACGGTAGGTCGCTCAATTGTTTCCATGCGCTTGGAGGGTTAGGACGGCTTATTCTGTAAACCTCTGCTTAGTGGTCGCGTCGAACTTGTGATGGAGAGAACGATAGAGCAACGCTATGCGATAAAGTTTTGCGTGAAGCTGGACAAGACCCGGATCGGTGTGGCAACGGTGCCGCAGCCGCCCTACAGTCCCGACTTGGCCCCGGCGGACTTTTTTTATTTCCTCGGCTGAAAAGGGAGCTCAAAGGACAACAGCTCGAGTCGGTTGACAACGTACAAGCTACTTCGACGGCCTCCCTGAACAGCATCCCAGTCAAGGAGTTCCAGAAATCTTATGACGCATGGAAATCGCGTTGGCAAAAATGTATTGACGCAGAAGGGTCATACTTCGAACAATTTTAAGTTGTTTTACCTATGCGATCAATAAATTCTTTTTTAAAAAAATGCGACGCATTACTTTCCGGACAAACCCTGTACTGTTGTCATCTGATGACGTCATACTGTTGTCATCTGATGACGTCATTTATGCTGTGACAAATGGCCGTCAGTATAGGGTCATTTGTACGTCATACTGACCGTCAGTTTGACGTAAGTTCTGACAAAAACGTACGTAAAAAAGACGTCTCATTGACGTTGTGCTACCTGGGATATATTATATCTATCTTCACAAAAATTTTATCAATAAACGTAAATTAACTTGATACTTTTAACAAATGTAATATATCGAGTACAGTATACCTAAAAGTTACCACAATCAAATAAATCAGTATAATTTTCTTATACGATACACATTTTAAAGTAATCAAAGGAATAAAAAAAATATCCAAAAAATAGACAAATTTTAGAGAGTTGACTTTGGACGGTATTTATAGTCCAAGCTTAAACATTTTCTTAAGATTTTCTAGATTAAGATCTTGTTTGTATAAGTATGACTTGAGATTTCATGTATTCATAGTTTTAATTAAAATGAGACGATCTTCATAAAAAAATAAGCACTTCTTGTTATTTAAGATTTTTTTACTGAATTTAGTGCTTAAGATGATCTGATTTACTTTCAGTAATCTTTGGGATTTTTCTGATGTATCAGCCAATGAAATATGTTTAAATATAGAAAAATTTAACAAGATGTATGTCTATACCATTTATTCATGTTATCAAATTATTGCAGACTCTAAAGTATTGTTAGAAAGTAATTTTACTGTAAAAAAAATATCAAGCAAAAAAAACATTATATAGATCCCGAAAAGAATTCTTCCTTAAAATTTTAACAAAATATTCTCCTTGAAAAAAAGTGATGCTACAACTTTGAAACAAGAAGAAGCATGGAATCAAACTTGCAATGCATATATCTATTGTAATAAAGTAAAAAATCTATATATTTTTTCTAATTAGATATGTTAAATGCTTGAAATAAAAATGTTAATTATATCTGAAGAAAATCTAATATATTTGCGGTAGATAGTTTCATTTTTAAGCTAGATTTTAAATATTTTTTATATTCAAAGTAATTTAATTTTTAACATTTTAATGTGTAATAAATTATTACAGAGAAGCGTTAAATTTAGAAAATTATGGAGTAATTTAAAATCAGTATAAAGAGATATCCTTACGCAGGAAAAACATGCACGTTTATCAACAGGTGGTGGACCTGAACCTAAATCTGCAAAGATTGACCCGAACATTGCCGCAATAGCACCCAATTTAATGACAATTGCACCAACATTATTTTCATCAAATTTATCAGATAAAATACTAAAAGATAATTTCATCTTTATTTTATTTATTTATATTATAATAAAAATTGAAAAAATAGTAACAATGAATATTTTTCAGAACGACAACAAAGAATATTAATGAATTGTATTCCTGAGGAATTAATTGAAAATGTGGAGAGCATAGACTTTATTGATGATGATTTCCAGAAAGTTAATAATGATTCTATTATCACACTTCATACAAATGATAAAATAATTAATTTTATTGATATTTTCTATTAATATATTTGTTTATGAATAAGAATTTAGAATTTATGAGACAATGACAATTGAATGTTACAGACTCAAGCAGTAATGAGACTGATGATGCTGAAAAAGAAAATAATCCAGTAAATGAAATAATAAAAATAATAAAGATAAATTTTATTAATATATTTATTTTTAGACACACCCCTCTCTCTCTCTCTGTGTGTGTGTGTGTGTGTTGCGTAGTATCTTAAGCATATTAACAATTTGTATTGTACTGGTGGAATCGGCAGACCACGATTGTTAATTTTTGCTAAAATCCTTCTTCAATTTTTGGTAATATTCCATATAGGAGGAATCCTTATTAATCTACAGCGTCTTTTAAATTGTAAATTATTATAAAAGGGTTTTAAAAAGTCCATCACGAATGTATCATTTTCGTACACGATCTCTCTCTACTTGAAAATCACGATCAATCAATATTTTTCAATAACATCAATTTTTTTCCATTAATTCCATAATATTTAATAATAAGCTTATCTTAAAGTCATGTACGGACTGACTTGAAAACATAACCTTACTTTCTAATAAACACGATTGTTCGTGCGAGTGTGTTGCCGAGCGTGCGAACCGACATGCACGCGCCATCTCTGAGATCGCGGCGTCGCTCAGAGCATCGATTGATAGCAATCATATTGATTTCCGTTTAGATCGATATCTGATTAGCGCGGTCGTCCCGTCACTTCCGTAGTGACGAGGAAGAAGGAAGCATTCTGGAGTAATCCTTGAGTCAGTGTACACGTGTTCTGTATCGCTCTCAGTAACGTATCAAATAATAAGTCGTTCAAGTCATCGTATTATATCTCGTATATTAATTTTCTGTCTATCGTGACGAATGAGTTGTGTACATTTGTGATTGTGCGGAATAAAAAAGACCATTGACTGTTACGAAGCGCGAGTGATTTATTTCCCCGCCTCGTCTATTGTCGCCGCGTAAAACCACCATCTTTTTCCCGACCACGTGCGCCGGTATTCCCGCGCTCTCTCTCTTTAGTATTTTACTGAGTTCGCGAACATGGTCCTTCGAGCCGGATAGTCCGTGAATCGGTGAATTAAAGTGCATAAACTATCGAGTGCACGAGCGACGAATCGAGTTATCGCCCTTATATGTGCACATTCGTGTCGTAATACGTGATAGACTGCCACGTGGCCCTTCTCTACGTGTCTGTGAAATCGCGAACAGAAGCGATTAATCTCGATTCTAGCGGACAGTGACTTGAACAGTGACATTTAGTGATACGAACGGAGTTATCATTTTACTCCATTTCGTCCGACGGTTCGAATCTATAGTTTATGCGATTCGTTCGTCGTTCTTTTTGACAATTTATCGGAGTGATAATTGACTTCGTTTAGTGCGTTACTCCGAATCTATCGACTATGCGATTTGTTCATC